GTTGAAAGTCATTAGTCTTTAATTAAAAAGTATAATAACCTTATTTTTATGAAATTAAAAACCAAAAACATTGGATACCTTGAATGCATCTTCATCCGTTCGATCATCTCCGATATAAACAGGAAAGACATTGGTGCAGTTGGCATATCCTAGTGACTCTAGCAGAAATTCAAGAGCCTTGCCTTTGTCCCATTTGATGGTAGGACGGATTTCCAGCACCTGCGTCAGACGAGTAGCAATATTGACAGTGAGACCACATTATCTTACTCACTTGACCCCAAAAATTTATAAATGGAAATGGAAATTTGAAGATTGACTGCGGGGCAAGTAATTAGATGCCATGACACACACGTACCTTTCTTCCTTGGGTAAGTCTGAGCTTTGGGTACTCCTTCAAAACGGATCTAACTTGCAAGAACAGTTCACTCCATTTCTGTCATATCATTGGTTCAAATCAGATATGTTAATGAATAGAACACATTTTGAGTCGAAAGAAGCACGTGTACGCGATCTTCTCGTGGACGACAGTCAGTCGTTGAATAATTTAAAAAAATAATTGAAAAAAACGTGCGTATACCTTTTCATCAACGCAACGAAAATGAACAGAGAGGCAGAACTTGTTGTTCTCCACTTTGGCTCCAGGAGTTGATTTGGTCTTTTCAACAAGTAGTTTGTAAACCTCATCAATCATTGGGAGAAATTCACTTGCTGGTTGGCAAAGAACACCTTGACTGCCCTGAAGAGTGATCAAGGAGGCAAAGAAACAAGAATAAATTATTTGGAAAAATTGCAAAAAAGAAAAAGTGACAAGGAGATTAGGTGACAGTGATAAAACAAGACACTTACTTTCTTGTATTTGGAACCTTTGGCTGGACCTTTAATGTCCATACCATGGCTACCAGCGTAGTACAGCTCTGCCAACCTTACAAATTTATACACCTACAGTTCCAAAATTTACAGAACAAGAAAAAAAAATTAAAAATTAATTCAAGAAAAATAAAAATGATAAGAGAAATAAAAGCCAGGCAGTGACTAAAAACAGCTTGAAAATAAATGTACCTTATCTCTGCATCTTCCACTCACTATGGCAGTGGGAAAACATCTAGCCACTTTCTTCACTGTCTTTCTCATCTGTGTTTTTACAGAAAAGTTAAGAAACCAAGACTGGGAAAACATAAATAAATAAATAAATTATATGGGAAAAGAAAAAGAACAAGATTGAAATTACTTACTGCAGCAGACATGAAAGCTCGATCTGGGTCTTCAACTATGGGGGATAGTGTGCCATCGTAGTCCATGAACATGACGATTTGCTTGCCTTTGGAAGCATCAATAATCTGCTCAAACATGTCCAAGGCTGATGGGTGCTGAAGCTGTTCATCCATCAATAATATCACAAATTAAAACCCAATACTCTAAAATCTATATATTCTTGAACTGATTGCTAAAAGAAAGAGAGAAGCAATTTTAGTACTCACAATCCATGAGCTCTGGTCCTCTTTCAAAAAAGATGAGGACTTTAAGTGGGTGGGAGAAGAAGCTCTCATTGAGTCCACCCAAGAGTTGATTCTTTCAGCTCCATTGATGCTGTCAAGATTCTTCAAGTTCATGAACCTCTTCCTGGAAATGGAGATGTACCCAGGCGGGCCCACGGGAGGCTTTTCGGCCACCGCCGTGAAAATGGAAGAGTTCGAAACGGCCACCGATATAGCCATGTTCATGATTTCTGCTTCAGCATCGGAAACTACCACATTCTGCTTCGTCATATCTAATCAAAACACGCTGCAAACAACCCAAAAATCACATTTGTCAATACAGATTACAAAAAGTCTTTATCTTTACGGTCTTTTGGGGTCCTGAAAGTTCACCAAATCCAAAACTAAAGCAAACCCATTTTTGAGATTTAAGGTACTTTTGAAGAAGGTGTACCTTCAAAAGAAGAAACAAACAGATTCAGAAGAGTGAGAGAGCAGACTCAGGTGCTGGTGTGGAAGAACAGAAAAACAGAGGAGAAAACAGAGCACTCTGTATTCTTGTGTATATGAGACTGAGGTTGAAGATATTGAGGATTTATTGTAAATCCAAAACAGAGAGAGAAAAGAAGGCCACAAAGTTTTTCAGAGGAAGAGAAACAGTGTAAGAGGGAGTGTATGTATGTATGGATGTGAGAGAGACAGAGCCCGGAATGGTCCATTTATAGTGGCAGCAACCGGATGCTTCCAAACCAGACCAAAAAAACTCCCCAAAAGTGGGTCCCACCGAGACGTAGGGTCCATCCAAAAGATATGGGTCCAGCAACCGGATGCTTCCAAACCAGACCAAAAAAACTCCCCAAAAGTGGGTCCCACCGAGACGTAGGGCCCATCCAAAAGATATGGGTCCCACAATCCCCTGATATCCCCAATGTGAGCCACCACCACCACCACACCACACCACACCCCATCGGTGGTCCCCACAATCTCTCTCTCTCTCCACCCCCACCCATCTCTCTCTCTCTTTCTCTGCGTATTTGCACCAGAGGCACGCACGTATAAAAAATATACCCTTTTTCTTTTTCTTTTTCTTCCTCCTATGGCGCCGTCCCCAGCCGTCACCGTAACAGCCAGGTAACAGTTGACGCCACGTGGCCGACATTCCTTTGCAGTCGCACCCCTTGTGGGCTTCTGCCACGTGTGCCTAACCACCCATCGATTTGTTTGGAGAGGAGCTGTTTTTATTTTTAATTTCCTTAAATGTACTTCAAGTGGGGAAAATTGGACACTGGCCAATTCAAAACTAGCATAAGCTTACGGCGCTCTCCCAATTTGGTAAACGATTCCTTTTCTATAGGGAGGCTTTGAACGCCCCTTGTAATTTGAACTCAAAACAAGCGACTCATACCTACCTGATTATGAAGTTAAATGAAAACCAGCAGCTTGGGCTTGTTCTTTTTTTCTTTTCCAATTTGACTTCAAAGTTGGGGACGGGTCGGCTTTACATAGGCATACACATCGCAATCACCTATATTACTCTATATAATGACCGAAACCCAAAGTACTAAACAATCAATAGCAACCCATTCTGGGTTTACCTAAACTACAGAGATCAGTAGCTAAAACCTCAACATAGAATTTGGGATTAAGCTTATAACTCATGTTTGCCAATAGGATACAGAATTCGGACTTGTAGTCTCATCCAATGTTAAGAAGAGAAGTAACATTAGACTAATTGCTAGTTTGTCTTTTCGATTATTCATTCATAATATTAAAATCACTACAAGTGCATATTGTGAGCTACTCTTGATACAAGAAACGCTAAAGTCATTGATAGTTTTAATGGACACAGCGAATAACAAATGGGAGTTTGATCAACAAAATGAAATACCGAACCACGTATAACAAATGGGAATCTAAATCTAAGGATAGACCATATTGATGTAAGTGTGGTTGTAAATACCCAAAAAAACCAAAATGGAAGGAGAAACATAACAAGAAAAAAGCTAAAAATTCAGGTGCATCCAATGTTGCTACAAATAATGATGGTGAACCTTTGAAGCTTTGGTGCAAACTTGTAAACACCCAACTCTGATTCTTTCTCAAATTTCTCTTTTTCTTCCTCTCTTTTTTTTTTTTCTCTTTTATGTCCCTCCTTTCTCAAATTCTGCTTCATCGATGTGTCGATTTTATTTTCATCTTATCTATTTATTAAACCTTTTATTCTTATAAGGGTTAACTGGTGATTTGCCCCCTGAACTTGTACCTAGCTTTCGATTCACTCTTTATTCTTTTTTTTAGAAAATTAAGGATATAAACTTCTTCTTTTTTGCCAATTTCCCCTCTACCGTCTAAATCCTCAACATTTCATCCAATTTTCAGTTAAATTATTTTAAAAAATTATTATTTTTGGAAGAAATTGAAGAAAAAGAGTAAACCTAGAGCCAA